CCTCTCTCTCTCTCCTCTCTCCTCCTCTCCTCTCTCCTCCTCTCCTCCTCTCCTCCTCCTCCTCTCCTCCCTCCTCCCTCCTCCCTCCTCCTCCTCCCTCCTCCCTCCTCCCTCTCCTCTCCTCTCCTCCTCTCTCCTCTCTCCTCTCTCCTCTCTCCTCTCTCCTCTCTCCTCTCTCCTCTCTCCTCTCTCCTCTCTCCTCTCTCCTCTCTCCTCTCTCCTCTCTCCCTTTTGCAACACACTTATCTACCCATCCGTCCTCCGTCTTTCCGACCCTCCGTCCCTTCCTTCCTCTGTCTCAACTAATCCCTGTGCTCAATATCTCCCTGCTCTCTTGCACTCTTCACCGTTTTGTCTCCTTTCTCCATGTCTGCTCTGACTTTTGTCCCTTCTTTGCCTTTCTGCATTCTACTGTCCGTTAATTCATTTATCTCTACCTGTTTGAATGGCTCCATGGCTCCCTCACTCTTTGATTAACGTCTCTGTTACCTGGTTTCCTCTTGACTTTGGAGTTTCGAGTACGAGTGCAATGCCATTTCTGGACACTGATGTTTTGCAGCTCTCTGAGATATGATACTGACTACTGCAATTGCAGACTTTCAACCAAAAGGTATTTGAAATGTCAGCCACGCCAAGACGAACGATGCGGCCGCGAGCTGAGATCAGGTAAAACACTTACTCAGTTTATTCAGCTTTTATTTTTCTCATGCGACCCTCACAGTTACAAGGAACCTGGCCAACTGAAACTGTCTATGCTTGAAGCAGACAAAGACAACGATAGCGATGATGCTTTCGAAGGGAGCACAAAGGGAAAAGCTTCGCAACATAAACGAAAGCACAGCGATGTACTTTCTCAGTCTTCCCCTGCACCGTCTCAGAGACGCAAGACTGATAAGACAGGACGATTACTCTTTGAGACTAGCGAAAATTCGCTCTTTGGTGTGCCATCAGCTTTTCTCTTGTATTAAAGTGAAAACTTCCTAGGTATCATTGCTACCAAGGCGAGTGCCATTCCTATGGCTGTCAAAGAATGGTGGGAACAGTATGACAGAGACAGAGCAACGGCTGTCTGCAAACTCACAAACATGGTGCTAGAAGTGAGTGTTTGGCATATCATATTTTCTTCATACGCCTGAAACACTTCTTACAGGCAGCTGGATTCAAAGAAAGATTCCCGGCTTCAGCTTTTGGAAGTGATGATGACATGGATGTTGATGACTATCTGCGACAGCTTGTAGAAACATGCGCTTCCGGAGAAGCTGAGACTTCAATCAACTGTTTCACGGGAAACAGCAAGTCTCACAAGAAAGTTCAAAGCCAATTCTCAGACTTTTGGGACAAGTTTGTCTATCACGCCCCTGAATCTGAGCTGCGCAGCATGCATGAAAATCCATTTTGCCCGTGGTTGCATGCTATGTCCACGTATTTAATGATATGAAAAATATTCATTATGATATTGTATCCAGGTCTCAGCTGAAAATTCTTCGGTTAGCTTCCACAATTGTTGGACTGGAAATCATGAATGCAATTGTTGGACGTGCAAACGATACTTTGGATGCTATGAACAACCTTGAAAGGCTATATGAAGCCGCAAAAAGCAAGAAGGAAACTCAAAAGTTGGCAAGGCTTGAGGAACAATTGGAGGCTAAACGATCGATCCGCGGGGATGCAGAAAAAGCTCTTTCAAGCTTTTTCAACTCTATTGTCATTCATCGGCATAGAGATGCTGCACATGAGGTTTAGTTTGAATCATACGACTTTGAAAATTGACATTTGCATATCAGATACGAGCACGCTGTATTTCATCCATCGGAAAAGTGATCATTGATTACAAGTCCAAATTTCTCGAGAATTCGTTCCTCAAGTATATTGGTTGGGCACTCTACGATAAGGTGAGCTGCTGTCTGGCTTCGAAGGGCTTATTCTGACTCAATATGACAGCACGCCGATGTGAGACTTGCAGCACTTGAGTGCATCGACAGCTTTTACAGTAATGGTTTGGAAAACGAATTAGAAATGTTTACCGAAAGATTTCGGGATCGAATTCTTGAGATGCGTTTGGATGTTACCAAGCAAGTGGCAATCCAAGCTATTGAGACTTTGAAAACAATGGCAACCAAGGAACTTTTGAAAAATGATGGTCCAGAATTGGTCTATTCTCTTATCACCGAAGCGGATGTTGACATCCGTAGTGCTGCGGCCGATTTCATTGAAGCCTCTTACATTTCTCACGATCTGGAACTTGCTTTTGAATCTGCTTCTCGTGTATCAGGTGGCTAAACGATTGCGGCAGGTCAAAATCTTACGTTTGATTGCGCAGACAAAGGTGCGAAGGAAGACCAGAAAGACTCCTTCGTTTTCAAGGGGATTGTCGAATTGTTGGGAACTGTGGCATCTGAATTCCAAGACCTTCAACCTGCAGTCGAAGTGCTGATTGAGCGTGTTCCTGTTCTTGAGGTGGTTTTTGAACCTGTGATGCGATTGAATGACTCAATTGTTCATAGAATTTCACAATTGCATGCGATGTTTTGCTTGAGGATACAGGGGATGATGCATTGGAGCCTGAATATAAGGTATAGCGGCTTATGGTTCTGGTTCTGATTCTGATGGATGAAATCGTGCAGGTTACACTTGCTAGGATGATGTGCGGGACGCTAAGCCTCCTGGCTGGAAATGTTGAGCAGGAAGAAAATTCAAACAGAAAGAAGGTGGGGAAATATATCGACTTAATTAACTTGACATCTTGTCCTCAGAACCCTGAACAAAAGAAATTAAAAGAGGCATGCATTGTTCTTTCGCATAATTTGGCTGCGATTTTTGGAAAATTTGGTACAGAAAAAGAAATGCTCCCTCCACTGGTGGGTTTGTTGCAGCACTTCAACTTGGATTCCTTCAGCGCAAAGGATAAGGTTGATGGAATGAGCTTGGCCAGTAACTGAGAAGTAGTAGGTCCTGAAAGACATAGTCGACCGTGTTGTGGAGATTTCAAAGAAATCCCAAGATTTTGATGTTATGCTTGCCTGTGGGCAGTCGCTTGCGAATTTGGAAAATTCAGATTACGCAATGAAAGCAACGGTAAGACATACCTTTTCAAGCATCGTACTGAAATCTTGTTGGGACAGATTCAAACAAGGCTGAAGCCTCTGTATGAGTCTTTGAATGCTGAATTGAAGAAAATTTCGGAGGCAGTGAGCAAGGTTCTACTCTGTTGTCTACTGTTTACACGACCAATCAACAAATTGCAGGGTGGAAGAATCTCATCTCTCAATGAATTGAGCCTGAAGCGAGCCGCAATATTAAGTGGGCATCTTGATATCTTTAAAATATCATCGGATCCAAAGGAATACATCCTGTCCTTGATGAAAGATTATGTTGAAAACGAACAATACAAAAATCATGAAGTATTTGACTATCTTGTGCGCATGTCATACTGAGAGATTCGCAGGTTGGTTGCCATTTGGTGTGCCTTTGCCTTCATTACCTGCTTTGGCGAATGGAGACACGACGAGAAGATGAAATGCATGACATATTGCAAGCTCGTGACTCGTTACTCGAGTTTTGCAACGAAGTCTTGCGGAAAGGCACTTCAGTCAATCGCAAGTTGTCTGTGCAGGTCGCCGTGGCAATAGCCGACATGCAACAGGCATTTTTGCAGTCCCCTTGACAAAAACGGCTGATGAGAAGTAGGTCTTTGGGAGATATCTGCAATCAGAGGGAAATCAAGACCTGGAATTTCCGTCAGATGCTCTCCAAGCTTTGGGCGAGTTCGCAGAAAGTTTACTGTCCAATAACATGAAAGGTACATAAGAAAAGTGTTGATTTCGTATTGTTCCAAGTGTATTGACATGTAAAGCATAGACAGCGAAGATCTTGGAGAGAGTATCAGAAATATTGGAGTACAAGATGATCAAGATCCGCGAAGTTCACTTCGAGTCGTCGCCATTGCTGTATATTTGTCATATTTTTGCTTTTCCTCTCTCGGAATGAATATGGCCTCAGGTTCTCAAAGGTCTTATTTATCAAAGAGATGCATCTGAAAGCACATTGATCGATATGCTGTCAACTGTAACGATGTCCGAACTCGATTCTTTCATAGTCGGTACATGAAATTGAATTTTGGTGCAGGCATAGGCCATACTCAGCAAAGTTCCATAACGAGGTAATTTCGTGTAATGTTGATTCAAGTTTTGACTTGATGTGCTCAGCTCCTGAAGATCGCAAACGAACAGCTCATCCCACAAGACCGTTCAGACCGAGTAACTTTCTGGCTGAAAGCACATCAAAATGTATGAGTTCGCGGTATTTCCAGTACATTGCGACACTGATTGATTATTTCAGATGTATATGAAGTTGGGTCAAAGCGTCTCCTCCGAAAACTCAAACGTTTCGTCTATGGGTATGGCACTGATTGACTCAGTCAGCGTTCTCAGGTTGTCACGATTTCTAAAGGGTGGTTAAGGTCCATTACTCATGTTTTAATGCAGACTCGACGAAGAGGATACAGAAAAATACATCAAGGATGGTCTTGACTGGACTTTGAGCGACGCAAATGGAAGAAGCAACTTTCTTGAAATGCTTGCTATTCAAATAAGATTTTTGTCAAGCTTGCAGGCGAGAAAAATGTAAAGCTTCTCATTGAGCCATGCCCGTCATGTATCTGATTTTTACTCAGGGTAAGACATCTGGAAGAAATTTGCAGGACAGGTGGCCTCTCCTTTGGGCAAGCAAACCAACTTGAAAGGTCGCTCTCTAAATTCCACAAGGGTCTCACAGACCGAGGAGATTCGAACAAGTGCTTGCTATCCTCTCATTTGTGATTTTTTCTTGATCAGAATTTAACAGGCAAAGAGGTTCGCCAACTGGTCCTGCAAGCAGAGACATTTTTGCCAATGATCAAGATCCAGAGTTCTCTGGCTCTCTGGCAAATACACCTTCGCATACTCAACAATCTCAACTCTCGGAGATGATTTCAACAGCGGACATCGAAGATTCTCCATCACAGCCGAAGCGGAAGAGTGAGTGAATGTGTATTCGACTTCGCGTGTGATTTGATGAGCAGGTTCGCAAGAGAGTCGAGGATCATCGAAGAAAAGTAGAGCATGATAAGTTGTGTGAGCCGTCGGGAGAACCTGGTTCACTTCTACCCGGGAACATGACATGACATACTGCCCTCCATGGATAGTAACAAAGTAGATTAAAGTGTGAAAACAACCTTTCCCAAAGTCGACAGGAGCTGCACAACACTGACATTCGGACTGCGATCTGCAGTGACAAATCAAGAGCAGTTTATCATAGAAGTGAATATGTATGTTGCTGACAAGTCACTTTTGGGTCAGAGAATACGGAGAGAAATTCCACTTTCTCAGACGTATTCCTTATCCGTGGAGTTGGGCGCAGTTGCAAGGACATCGTTGCCAGACATGACGATGAAGCAGAAGATAACCTTGGCCACGGTATCCAAGATAGCATACCCGCACACCTAACACACAGTTAGTAATCCGGTGCACCAATCTGGACGGCATGTTATGTCATTTCAAGTGTCCTTCTTACCTCAAAGGAAACGGAGAAGGATGCAAATCCCTCAGAGAACAACCAAACCATCTTCACATTCCGTCAGAAGAAACCCGTATGGATAGGTGCGGAGGTGCTCACCGGGTAGAAGATGAAGGCCACAGTGACAATGGTAGCGAGCTGTCCGTACAAAGACGCGACATCCCCACCACGAGTCACAGCTGATTCCCTCATGTTCTTGGAGATCGAGACCAAAACACAGACAAGGGCAATGGCTCCGATAACGAACCAGAACCACTTTACGGTGGTCACCACTGACACCGATGCAAAGTAGAAAGTGGCAACATAGAGAACTGCATAGAAAAATCATCAGGGAAAGCAACGAGCAGGACGCTCTTGAGAATTGATTCTTGCAAATGAGAAGCAGGATGTATGCAAAATACTCACTCTCAGCACCGATGGTAGCAGCGATGATGGAAGTCTCTGCTCCAGCGATCAATCCAAGCTGAAGGATGATCAAGGGAAGGGTGATGGCGTAGTCCACGTATCGAACATAGAAAAACTGTCTGCAACCAGCCACTGCAGTCCAACCCTGTCCAGAGAGCATAGCAAAGTACGCCAAGGTGGAAAACGCGCAGATGTAGATCGAGCAGAAGTAGTACTGCTTAGTCTCCTTGGCAGAGCTCGACCTTGCGATGAAGACAATGGTGGAAACTGCAAGGACAAGGAAGACAATGGTGAGAGCTCCCACACCAGTGGATCCCACTTCCTCGATCGTAGTGCATGCCGCCGGCGACAGACTTTCAATGGCCATTTCCGCCGCTTCGTTCGTGTCTCTTCGCGCTCGTCTCTACCCCCGCCTTTTTCAGTACCCCAGAACTATCGCTTACTACCACCCCTATCGCTCCTTGTCATCTGAGGACCCTTGCAGAGCCCCTATTCAAAAAGGATGAGGTAGGGGTCATGAACGCTAGTCAACCTGACTGATTCAATCCCGGAGTCCTGAGGCCGGCCGGGCCGCTAGTACTTTACTCAAAGTTAAGTTAAAAATCAGTACCGTACGGTGACCGGGCGGCTGGCCGGGCCCGGGGCCCGGTCCGAGGTCACCGTCACAGTGGGCCGGGAGTCCGTGCCAGCTGCAGTGCCGCACTGCAATGCGTCGCCGATCAGGCCCGGGGCGCACGGCGGCGCGGCACACTGCGGCTCACACTGCCGCCTGGCAGGCCGTGCGGCTGGGCGGCCCGGGCCGAGTCGCCGACTCGGGACTCCGGGATCCGAGAGACTGGCAGAGTCGCCCGGCCCCCCGGCCCGGCCGGACGGCGGCGGGGGGACTCACCGTTACAGAAGTCGTTATCTTTGAAGAGACGTGTTGGGGCAATGGCGAGAGGTGGGGCAATGAAGGCAGCGGGGGTTTCAGCGATGGCGATCGCTTTCGCGCTGCTCATCGTCTGTATCTCAATCCAGCAGTACACGGAAAGGATTCAGAACGACTCAATGTCCGCTCCTCTTGGCAGCTCTGAGCTCCTCACAATCCAAAGCTTGATGCATGTTCCTGCCTGCGCAGCCGACAAGCATTGCAGGTCTGCATGCAGGTTAGTTTGTGACGAAGTTCGCATGAGCTCAGGAGCGCGAGACTATGCATCATCACTCATATCCTTTGGATGCTGCTCGTCATCTCCGGTTATTACCAAGCAAGTGACAGGTGCTCGTGAGACTCTGTTAGCTGAGGTTTCCAAGCTACATGCACATGACCGTCTGCCCGTCAAGTATCTTCGCAGCGGGAATTCACTGAAAGAAAATCTCGCAATCTTGAAACGAGAAGAGACGGCGGTGGCAAAAAGACTAGCGAAGCTCAAGCTGAAAGATGTTTTGCCATTCCGTGTCAAACGTGGAGGTCAACTAGCTTTTCAAGTGCAACCTCCTCTCGTCGATGGAACCAAACGGAACAGCACGACGACAGACCCATATGGTGTCGAAAGACAAGCAGAGTCAAAGGGAAAGCGAGATGCAGTATGGCGAGGCTTCTATTGTGTCGGTGCAGATTGTCCAGAAGAGAACGATTCATTCCAGACTTGGTCCGCCTACGAGGCATACCTCGCTGCGACCAACCAATTCGGTTTGCCAGTCTCGTTCCGAAATGAATCAAGTGTGAAGTATGTGGAATCCGACCCCTCCGAACTGGAAAGACTTTTGAGGGAAACTGAGATTATGGGATTGGGCGAACCATACGAAGAGGAGGAAGTGCTAAAAGATCCTGACACGGATGTTGAAAATCTCTATCAACAGTATAGATGGTGTGTTTTCAAATCCAATGATAATCTAGATGACTGCCTCAAGAAGCTTCGCGAACAACATCTTCAGGTTCGAATACCTCTGAGTATTGTTAGTCTGTTTGGTGTGACTCTACGTTTTAGTGGGAGTGGCAACGTATTCCGGGATGCATTCCCAATGTGACCGTGAATGCTTCTTTCCATCCTGAGAATGCATCTTATATAGCCAACGCGAATGCAAGCTGCCTGCAGGTAAGAGTTTGAGCTAAGATCTCAAATATGAGGGTTTCTCTGACCCTTGCACTAGCTTGTCCCAATGAGAACTTTGAGGACGTATGGGTATGACGTGGCAACAGGGAAGTACCCTATGGAAAACTTGACTGATGATCTAGAGGTCGGCAAGCTGAGCATTTGACTGAAACTTCTGACGCAAACCTACAGGAATTCCCTCCAAGTGAAGAAGCCATCAGGCACCTTCTGGGCGATGATTTGTATGCCAAGTATGAAGAAGAAGAGAGGAAATCCCTGGTGAGTTGGTCATTTTGGGGCTTCGGCTACTATCTATTTACTCTAATATCCCTTGTCTCATTTGCGACTCCAAAGAAAACAATCGTGAATCTCTTGTTTACAGACCCTTGGGGAAGCTCATCAACAGTTCAATCTTCGCCGTGCTGAGATTCGTAGGGTGGGAACTTGAATCAGGATGTCACTTGCACGCTGAAAGAGATTTGCAGAGACAAGTCTTCAAGAAGGCCTTCAACAAAACAGAGTTTGAATGGTGCCTACATCAGGTGGTTCTGGTGTGATTCTTCTGGTTAACGAACTGAAGTCAGTTTGTAGCACAAGCACGACAAGGACTTTCCAAAAGCTTGCACAGGAGACGGACGTATGTTTATCAAGAAACCCTATCAGGTGCATCTCTTAAAGTGTGATGGTTCCTAACGCTGTGCTGTAGGATCGGCATAAACCTCTCACGGCTCCGGAGCAGATCGTGGAAGGTGTTGCGTCAGCGATGAGGTGACGGCCATCAGTCTCTCGAGATTCTTCTCTTGACGTTTTCATCCTCAGGAATCTTGTAGGGGAAGATCGCGCGGCAAGGGTGGTGGAAGAAACGGTTGGTTATGCTGTCTGCTGGAGGTCGGTCGTGACTTAACTTCTGCCAGGGTACGGAAGCCGCAGGTCAGAGGCATCCAAACAAGTTCGAATATGGGCCTGCAGTGGTTCAGCCCGGCCATGTGGCTGCCGAGCCGGCCCCATGGCTGAGGATGAAGGTAGCTTGATGGAGATGCCGTGCTCTTCTTACAACGTTGCAGCTCATCAGGGACCAGCCGCAGTCAGTGGAGGGGAAGATGGCGCTGCTGAGGGATAGACGCCGACTCCCTGGCGTGAACGTGGACTCGTGGGGGGGAGCGATGCCTGCCTTGTACCATTCTAGGCGCGATCCCATCGCCTACACTCCGAACCAATGCTGTTCTCACTTCGTTGACATGTCGGAGTGGGCATGATACCATGAACTGTGCGAATAGTACTCTTCATACTCGAAACTTCAATTTTCTTAGTGGGATTTTGACTATGTACATTGCAAGCCTTGAATCAAACTTCATCCGAGTCTCCATTGCTCAATCTTGTTGACCTCCCTCCCTCCCTCCCTCCCCCCTCTCCCTCCCTCCCCCCTCTCCCTCCCTCCCCCCTCTCCCTCCTGCCTCCTCTCCCTCCCTCCCTCGACACCAGCTCTACACCTGGACGCCAAAGATTGCTATATAGGCACCGGTACTAAAATACTATGCTGACGGGGATAGTAAGGTGGGGTACTTCAAGGTCCAGGAGACAACAGGAAGCGAAGGGAACAGGAGAGGATGCGGAAAGAAAACAGCGAGGTTGTAGCAAGGACAAGAACACTCCATGCCGATTAGAACCATCCTGGCTGGACATTAGGGGCATAGAGGGTCATCGGAGAAAGCGAGGATGGGAGACGAAGCTAGGAGCAGGGAAGAAGAAGCGGTTGGTTGGGCTTAGTAGCTCTGGTTTGGATGGAGACCTTTACGTGACATGTAAAAGGATAAAGCGGCAAGAGGGAGCAGAAGCAAACCAACGAGGCGCAGCATCTCTTTCGCCTCTCCAACTGGATGACATTTGCTGTTGCAGGATGGCGAACCTCCCTGCCACCATGCATTCAGTTGTGTACGACAAGCGAAGCGACAGCGGCTTTGCATTCAAGAAAGACGTCGCGACCCCAAAGCCAGGATCCAAGCTGATCATTCTGAGGGTGCTGGCAGCCTCTATCAACCCGATCGACTACAAGCTTCCCGCGATCCCGGGCTCAGGGGTGGAGGGCAAGGGGGTAGGGATTGACGTGAGTGGAGAGGTGGTACACGCACCTCAGGGGTCAGGGTTCCAGGTGGGCGACCAAGTCTTCGGCTACTCGCAGAGTGGAAGTCTGTCGGAGTTCTGCGAATGTGTTCCTAGCAAGGTCGCCAAGAAGCCCCAGCAGCTCTCTCACATCGAGGCCGCCATGCTCGGAACCGCAGCTGGCACTTCCCTGCAGTGCCTTAGAGACTGCGGGAAAGTGACAGCAGGAGATCGAGTCCTCATCATCGGCGGGAGCGGCGGTTGCGGCACTGCGGGCATTCAGATCGCCAAGGCGATGGGCTGCCATGTGTCCACCATCTGCTCCACTAAGAACGCCGACCTCGTGAAGTCGCTCGGTGCAGACTTTGTGCACAACTACGACACTTCCCAAGGCCCTGTCCCCAAACTGCAGAGCGAGGACGAGAAGTTCGACTGCATCTACGACACTGTCTCTAGCCCCGAACCCCACGACACCGACTATGAGCCCCTCGCTCGCCCTCTCCTCCGCGAGAAGCGTCGCTCTCCTCTTCCACAGCCGTTGAACTCCAACGGAGCCAAGAGGCCCATGTACGTCGGCATCAATGGCGCCATCGTTGACTGGATTCGTGCCTTGGCTAGCAAGGTGCTGCCGTTCAACATCGAGCGCACGGCTTACAAGCTACACATGCTCAACCACTCGGCGGAAGACCTCGCGGTCCTAGCGGACATGTGCGTGCAAGGAAAGCTCCGATCGGTGAGGGGGAGGCTTGTAGACTGAGAGAGACTGACTTCAAGGTACAGATTGTGGACGAGAGAGCGTCGAACGAGAAGTTGAAATTAGGATCTGAAGAATCGGTCAAGAGTGCGTTCGATACTCTCAAGAGCAGGAGAACGACGGGAAAGCTTGTCTTCGGAGCCTCCGATGAAGTTTGGGAGGACTATCTCAAGACGTGCAAGAAATAGGACGAACAGCCTTTGTATTCTCGATCTTTCATCGAGTTAGAAACAATAAAGGAATGTCTTTCCTGGTGTGACAGGATCACACCTGCATCCATCATTGTGTGTCATGTTCTTTTTCGAGATCGCCAGGTCTCTCGCAGTATCTTGCTCTTCTCTTGAAACCTTGCTTCTCTCTCGCTCACAAGGTCAGATCGGCTCTTGGTCATCCGCAACTTGTGCGGAGGGGAAGTGGAAGTCAAGTCAGGCGACCCCATGCGCTCCAGGCTAAGCTCGTTGGATTGCATGTGAAACCTTGGCCGAAGCGAGTAGCCAGCCTGTGCCGAGGGTCAGGGGAGGAGGAGGCAGGGGAGGAGCTCACGGAGTCCTTGGGGGGGATGGGCTTGGAGGGCTTGAGAGAGTTGAGCTCTCGCCCGACGATCTTGCCGAACTTCTTCCACTCCCAGATCTGATCGAAGTCCTTGTTGTCCGAGAAGTCAGGCGGACATGAGCCTGGGCGGAGAGGGCTCGTGTAGACGTCAGGAAAGACAGAGCAGTAGCGCCTGTCCCGCCCGTAGGAGTTTGACCACTTGAGCATCATCTCCGGAGGTGCTTGCGACTCTGTCAAGAGCGGCTTAGGAGCAGCTTCGAGGCCAGGGATCTTCACGCCGGGGTTGAACCTGGCAAGAGCATGCTTCAACGAGAGAGACCTCGCCCTGCTCGCCTTACGGGTTGAAACTTCCGACTGGCTCCGGTTCGAAGAAGCGAACAAACTTATTGTAGGAGATGCCTGGCCCCGGGGTGTTGGCAGCGTCAGGGACTAGATTGCAAGCGAGCATGATTTCGAGATTTTCATCAAGGTCCTTGATCCCCATGTGAGCAACAAATTCCTTGAGATCTTCTTTGGTTAAGAATCCTGCCCGTTCCTTATCCTAGCCACAAAAGCTTTCATGATGTTTCCTCGACAACAAGGATCCTACCATGGAGAGAAACGCTTCTCTGATGTTTCGAGGATTGTTTCCAAAGACTTGATGTATTCTGTCACGCAGTCGACTTTGTAAATCTTTTGCCTTCTTCTTTTCTATAGGCGTAAATTGCCAACCGTCCTGCAGAGCTTTTGGTTAGCCATGTGATGACTGAAGGAGGTCCATACAGGATAGACAGCTTTCTCTGGATTGAGAAGGCTGTTGGACATGACCTCACTGTTCAGCTGGTCGTCAGGAAATTCCATCATCTGGGAACAAACTTGTCAGATGCCAAGACCCATGCAGACCTCCGCCTACTTCGCAGAACTCATGATATCTTGACGACGCAGGGTTGCAATCTCCGGTCAGTCATGCGCCTGCATCTCAAGAGAGACTCACTCAACTGAGTCGGATGCGTCTTTGTCGAAGGCTCTGACGAGGAAGTCGGCTTGAGCATCACTGAATCCCAAGTTCAAGCTCTTGAACCTGAACGCACCTTGTTCACACACGATCACCGCGCCCGCCCCCCTTCTCACCCCTCGAACATCTCAGCCCTCGACAGCCGTCCATTCTTGTTAGTTCCCCACATCTGAAAGAATCGCTTTGCGCCTCCTCGGTGAACATTCAGCTTGTGTCTTGTCCTGACCGAGACGGGCAATCAGACGCGCACGTGTAGCGTGAGGGGCTTGCCGTTTCAACGCGATGAGGTTGGACTCGATGACCTTGTCGTTCATCTCGAAGTCTGGTGCAGGCATTTGCAGCTGTCATGAGAGGAGAAAGTCATTGCGAGAGGAGAGGAGGAGCACCTCACCTTAATGCTCTTGGGAGTATCGAAGCTGAATTCTTGTCGTCTTCTGAGGGAGTCGCGGGGGACGGAACGAGGCTGCGCGAAGGACCTCGAGGAAGCAGCAGGAGGAGCGTCCTTGACATCCCTCGTGTCACTTCTTGATGACGACCTGCTTCCTCATCACCTCCAGCGCTCTCTGCCGTCACTTTACCTCCCGTCGTTACTCCTCGCCGCGTTCGTTTGGCCCGTGCTCGAGCGTTTCTTTGTCCTGCTGTTTGTCACGGTCGAGTCAATCGCATCGGATTCAACATCGCTTTGCTCGCTTCGTTTTCATTCACTCCTAACTGCTCCTTCTCCTCTGCTTGCCTCCCCGGCCGCCTTCTCCTCATCCATAATCCTCGAACACAACATCTCGCCACTCTCAGCCTTGCGAGCAGAGCAGACGATCCCACGAGTATCCTCCTCTTACTTCACTAGTCCCTTCATAGCCTCCTCATCCCTCCATTCCTTGTCCTCCCCCACATCCAGTCTCGTCAGACTGCCATTTCTTCTCCTGCACTCCCAACGGTCGACTGCTTTCAGTTGTATCTTGACGTGCAGCAACAAGCAAGAGCACGAGCTCCTATCAGCTCAAACATCCACCTGCTACCTGCAGGACATGCTCTCCTCCTCTTCGGTGTTGGTACCTCGTCATGCTGTCGTCTGCTTATCCGCCATGCGCGCTTCCGCCCCCGTCCATCGGCATGGCGGCCCTATGCTCAACTTCCAGTTTGCCTCAGGCCGCCTCAGAGCCCCGAGCTAACTAAAATCCTCTGAACCTAAACTCCGGCTAACTAAAAGTCGCAAGAGCGGCGGTTGCTCAAGGTGCTTTAGAGGATTCAATCATTTCATATGCTCAAGAGAAGGATTAACAGAGGAAGCTTCTCGCCAGTAGACGTGGAATGGTTTCACAAATACACAGAGAAGAATGTCGAAGCAGAGGCGCTGGCGAGCACGTTGGGTATTTACATCATTTCGCCTTCTTGGGGATGGGCGGCAGGGACGAGGAGTTGGAGAAAGCCGCAGGTTTCTGCGAGGGGAGGAGTGAGGAGACGGGAAGACAAGGACCAGGTCACCTTCTTAGGGATGGAGGGGAGGTCGCTAGAAGGAGTCTTTTTGACTTCTCCTGGTGCCTTTGGCTCTCCCTGTAAAAATCGTTGAGTGAGAACAAGGGGCCCGAGGCAAGTTGGAGGTCACCTCGTTGGGAGGAGCAGGGTCGATTTCCTTGTTGGCTTTCTTGGATGGGGGCGATGGCTCAGCATCCTCAGACGAGAACTTTCTCTTCTTCTCCTTCTTCGCACTTGGAGCTCCTGAAGTCTTAGTCTCCATCTCCGCTTCCTCGCTCTTGTCTCGCTTACTCTCCTGCTCCGCCGCCTTCCCGACTGGTTCACCATCTGCCTCCGTCACTTCGTCCCTGGATCCAGCCTGTTTTTTGTCATGCTGCTTCTTGCTCTTGGGAAGCTTGATGCTCAATTTCTTCGTTTTCACTTCTTTCACGTCCTCCTGCTCAACTTTCTTGTTCTTCTTTTCCTTCTTGGCATCGCTCTTCTTGTCGTTCTTGCTCTTCTTCTCATGCCTATCCTTCTTCTCGGCTTTGCTCTTCTGCTGACTGGCAATCAGCTCCGCTTCAAGGTCCCGAAGTCCTTCCGCTGGAGGGTTCTCATCCCCGTCTCCCTCCCGACGCAGCCTGTTGCTGCTCATGGGGACCCACTCCCCTTCCTCGTCCTGGGGCCACGTGACTCTGGCCCAGCCTCGGACTCTCTCAACAATCTGGCCATGGCGCCATTCGTGCAGGACCTCTGACCAGAGTCTGACCTGCTCAGGTTGAGGCTCACGAATTCTGTCGCTTCCTTCTTCGATCCACTCGTCTTCCTCGTCTACCCCCCCATCATATTTGACCAGCACCTTGTCCCCTTCCTTCTTCACGATCAACGCCTTCCACCACTCACCATCCGCAAGAACTTCAACCGGTTTCGGCTCCATCTCTGTGCTGCTCGTATCTGCAACTTGCGCCTTGTTCTTTCCCTTTGACTTCCCCTTGCCGGGCAACTTGAGCCGCATGCTTGCAGGAAATCTCTCGCTGAAGTGAACGTTCATAGCGCTGTAGCCCATCGGGTCTGCACTTTTCTTCCACCTTGGGAACTTCTTCAGGAAGTTGTTCACGTCTTTCCTCACGTTGGCCTTCTGCTCTTCGATGACGGCGCATCGGTCACAGCGGATGGTCTCGAAGGATCGAGGCATCGCGTAGTTCAACTTCCCGAAGAACTGCTGGGAGGCAACAGGCTCAAATCCCTCCGGAAGACACTCCTCGCACAACGAGGTCGGGCAGGCAACGCAGCGAAAGAGAAGACCGCCCGACTCGTGAGCAGTTCGCCAGCAAACTTTACACCGATGGTGAGGGCACACCCATCCTCCTACTGCCTGCCTCCGAGTCCCGTCATTCCTTATCTGCACGACACTCCACCCAGGAGTGCAGTCGACGTGCATGCTGGTCGGACATCGCACACAATTGAGCTCCGGCCGTTGAAGATGATGCTCGACAGCATCACCTGTGTTGAGATCGGATACATCCGCGCAATGGCACAAGATGCAGAAAGGCTGATGCTTGAACTTCTTCTCCATCTTCGATTCGTGCTTTGCTGCGGCATCCTCCACGGCCTTTTTCTGCGCTGCTTGTGCGTTCCTCTCCTCGTCCACACTCCACTTCAGTACATCATGGCCATCAACTTTCACAGTTCGGGCCTGCACTTGACGTTTGGTGCCAGCAAATGACGACCATTCTTGAGCGATCGACTTCTGAAGCTCTTTGGCTGTCTTGAAAGTTGCCTGGTTGACATCAGTCGAGATCCCCTTGATCAACCCTTCAAGGGCAGATGAGCCTTCGTCTCCCTTGTCGTCCTCGTTAGAACCATCTTGCGCGCTGTCCTCTGCCTGCTTCTTGTCCGCCTGATCAAACGAACGAGTTAATCCACGACCCTCCTAACGGCAGCATTCAATTACCTCAAATTCTGCGCGCTCTTTCTCTAGGTCAGCCTTGGCTCGATCAACGATCTCATCGAAGGATGCTGCTCTCAACTCGTCCACGTCCTTCGAATTGTCGCCAGATACGATGCAGCGCATCCCATACTCAATCATCTTGACGATCTCTGCCATGGACATTCCTTTTGGGCCCGACACTCCCTCCATTTCAGGCCCGCCATCCTGCATGACCATCGCGTTCATACAACTTTTGTTCTCTGCGACCTGTAGGATTCTCTGCTCAACGGTGTGTCTTGAGATCAACCTATAGACCGAGACGGGTTTCTTCTGCCCGAAGCGATGAGCACGATCTTGAGCCTGAGAGTCAATGGATGGGTTCCAGTCGGAGTCGTAGAGTACGACTGTGTCAGCTGCAGTTAAGTTGATCCCCAGGCCTCCTGCCCTCGTTGAGATGAGGTAGACAAAGTAGTCAGACTTCGGGTTTTGGAAGCAAGCTATCTCGTATCGCCTACGGGCCACGGAGGTCGATCCGTCCAGTCGAAGAAATTTGTATCTTCGAAAGTGCATGAAATCTCCCAACACATCCAGCATTGAGGTGAATTGAGAGAAGACTAAAACCTTTCTTCCCTCTTTCTGCAACTTCGTTAAAAGTTTGTCCAGCACTATCATTTTCCCAGAAGCCTGCACGATAGCCTCGTCGGTCCATCCGCTGTTCACGTCCGCCTCTTCAAACAGGTAGGGATGGTTACACACCTTTCTGAGCTGCAAACAACAGACGTCAAAAATTCTACAATACAAGATAGTGAAGAAAACCTGCATGACTAGTGAGTTCAATCGCTTGTACGCGTCCGTTTGCCCACTGCCTGCAAGACTTGCGCATTCTCCAGTAAGCATCTTGGAGTACCAGAATCGTTGCATTTCTGTGAGAGGAACTAGAATTTTGATTTCAGTCTTTGGTGGGATCTGCATAGATGACAAGACATCGCTTTTGAGCCGCCGTAACATGAGCGGCCCCAACAGCGCGTGTGCTGCTGACAACAACTTTTCATTGAGCGGAGAAGAATTCTGAGCATCATTCTCCTTCGTTGATGTTTCTACTTCACTCGAGTCTTCGGTTTCTTTGTCTTCAACCTCCTCCGGTTTGGAATTCGATTTCCATTCCTTGTCAAAAGTATCCGCATTCGATAGCACTTCTGGGTACAAGAAGTTGAGGAGGGACCACAGTTCGTGCATGTTATTTTGCAAAGGAGTTCCAGTGATCAGTAGTCTGTGAGAGGAACGTAACCTCCGCACTGCTTGACCCATTTGGGTCTTTTCATTCTTGATTCGATGAGCTTCATCGAGGACGATGTATCCCCAGTGAAACCTCTGGCAGGTGTACGTATCCGCAACCAGCATCTCGTATGTTGTGCACATCACGTCGAATTTGCCGTAGATGAGCTTCTCCCTCTTGATTCTTTCTCGCTCTGACTGTGGGCCATGGAAAGGAACAGCTCGAAGTTGGGGGCACCATCGCTTGATTTCTGTCACCCAATTATTCATGACAGACAAGGGGGCAATGACGATATGAGGCCCATCTTCTCCCCGCACAGTCTTCAGGAATCCAAGCAAGGATATTACTTGCAACGTCTTTCCGAGCCCCATCTCATCTCCAAGAATACCACCTGCGCCCGTATCGTGTTGATTGACAAGCCATTTGAGTCCATCGAGTTGGTAAGGATGCATTTCTCCGCCTTCGATGCAGTCAGGCTGCCTGTGAACCTGCCTCCTACCCTTGCCTGGCTTGTCTATCGGCAATTTCTTCACTGCAGCCTCCAGCTTTTTGCCCAGAGGACCTTCCACAGACCGCAAATGCTCTGGGACGAAAGGAGCGAACTTTTCCCAGTGTGAAAGAACAAACTTCGCTTTGTGACCATCACATATGGAACTCTGCGCTCTCATTGCAGCATTGTGTGCAGCACGATTCTCGTGTTCAGAATGTCCCTCCTTTGCTTTGACAGGAGCAATTTCACCCTCGGGCAGCAGATCTATCGCTCCGTCAGGTGCATAGTACAAGATCTCCTCTTCTTTAGTCGATCTTTCAGATTTCGAGTCATCGAACCTGTCTGAAAAAGAGAAATCGCTTTCCTCTTCCATCTTGATTTCATCACAGTCGGGTGCAAGTTTTGCAACTACAACACTTTCACCATCTGGTAGGCAAAATTCCACGTCGTCCTCGTCAAGTTCAATCACAGCATTTGGCCAGAACCGGTTGATGTACTCATCGCGAACCAGTTCGTCCAACGTTTGCTTCACTTTATATTCGGCACGGCTTTCAAATGCGGGGTAATTCTTCGAGGCTTGTTTGATGATTTGAGAGATTGAACATGCAGTGCTGAAGTCAGGGGCAAGCTGGATGACTGCTTCAAGGACGATTGCTTTCCAAGATCGAGTGAGTCTCCTCTTCTGCACCGTAGGTTTGCGACTACGCTTAGTTGGATCGGTATCAGATCGTATCAATTCTCCACCGGAATTAAAAAAGTCTGTTTGCACTCTGCTTCTTTTGTATCCGATCGATTGAAAGTTGTTCATCTGCTCTCTCCTCTGCCTGTCTTCTTCAAGGCGCTGCTCCAATTCTTGTTGATACTCTGCCATCAGGCGGGATGCCTCTGCATACAGGCTTTCTTTCTCCTCTTTGGACAGGGCATTCCACCTGTTCGACATCTCGGTACTGAAGTTTACATCTTCGCCTCGCGCCTGTAGTTCTTGCTTCACATCGTCCTTGATCTTGTCTCTGAATATCGCGAATGCAGAGGGCGGCTTCTGAGGCATTGGACGCTCCTCAAAAGCAGGCATTGGTGACCGTGATGTCGAGGAACCATTAGCAAGATTCTCATCTGACTGCCGTCTAGCTGACGAGACACCAGACGATCGGCTTTCTCTAGATCTCGAACGAGAATCTCTGGCATTCTGCTCCTTTTCTTCTTGCTTTCTTTGCTTTGCTTCCATCCTCTCCCGTTTTTCTCGCTCTTCTGCCTCTTTTTTGGCCTCTCGAGCCCGCTTTTTGGCTTCTTGCAGCTCGATTTTGAGCCTCTTCTCATCCTCTCGTAGCTCTTTCACTCTTGTCTCCTGGTCTTTCAATTCTTTTAGCTCTTGTTGCCTTTTTAATCTCTCTTCCTCATTCTGCATTTGAGTTGATGCACCAAGGAGTGTTGCAAAGCTCATATTGTTATTGAGCGGCATTCCAGAAGTAATCGTAGTGTTTGGAACGAGAGCAGGTGGGTACCAACTTGCCATGGCTCCTGAACTCGGAACGTTGGGCATTAAGGGGTTGGCTGTTGCTGTTGGTAGACCGCCTACCGGCAGACTTGAACTGACATAAGAAGGATTATTAACATCTTGCGGTGGAGTAACACCCAGCGCAGAAGGTGCAGCCGCTGGGGTCGAGAGTGGCAGCGTACCTACACAACCGAATACATGTCAGCTCAGCACGGCAAATCAAAGGCAAATCAAATTACCGGGATTGTTAGGGTACATCGAGCCCGTTGCAACCATTCCAGTAAGATTCTGTTGAGTTGGAGGGAGCGCACCGCTAATGCCACCTACGGGATATGGGTTCGCAGCACCGAGCAGAGGTTTCTGTGTGGCTAGATATTTGTAAGAACTTGCAAGAAGGAGCCTTTGTTGTTCCTGTGAGCGCTGTTCTGCCCATTTTCTGTTCCTTTGCTCCAAGATGAGATCAAGCTTTTTCTGTTCCTTCTTCCTATCGTCCTCGACTTCCTTCAACTTCCGCTCAAATTCCATAATCTCGGGGTTCAGTTCTATAGTAACTTTCTTTGATGCTGAGTCCTGATTTGATGTCCCTGACCTTATCCTTGAGCTTGAAGATCTGTTCCTCTTTCGCTTGGGTTGCAGCTTTTTGAAATCTTCGGGTACATGTCGAGGGCAGAAGGCCTGTGGTTCCGCATTTTCAGAAATTGCGATGTAGTATCCTTCACCACTTGCTCGTGCACAACCCACGTGAAAATTACGAGAGCATGAGCTTTCGTAACATTGCACAGGAGCGTCAAAAGGAGCATCTTTCTGTTTACAAATTTGGCATTTGAGCTTCAGCCTCTCCTTGGGGATATGTCTGATTTCGACAGGACTCATTGTGGAAGTATTCACTACGTGAGCTTCTGGTATCCATATCACGCAAGACAGATGTGCAAAAAATTTGCCATCAAAGGTTGGTTTCAAAGCTCCGCCCTGCCACATAGCTCCTTTTAGTATTGTAATTGTGCGCCAAGGAAGTACCTTCTTCCCGCACAGGACACACATCGTACAATCAGCCTTGGGTGGATTCGCATCGGGAGCATCGGCTGTACATTGCAAGCAACGTCAAGAATGTATGCAAGACAAGGATGCATCATACCGCATAAATCACAATACCAAGGGTCGTCTCCAGGATACGGTCGTATGCCAAAGCAACCCTGGTGTACGACGAGCTTGCCTGCACTAGGAGTCAGACAAGCATGTAAGGTGAAGGGAGAGGGATAATCTACATGCGTTGCAGCAAACAGTGAGATCTCCTTCGTAACAATCCTCCTTGTCACAAACGGAGCATGCGCCAAGTGGCAGCGCTTTGATATCTGGGTCGGGAAGCTTTGTTTGGATTTCGTCCCCTGTTTCGAATTCTAGTGTGTACGGCTCCTCTGCACTCGGGTCCAACGCTTTGATAACTGCGAACATGTGAATGAAGAATCAATAAGACATCGATAACGAGATCACCAGCGGGATACCACTTCCCATCATCGTACATAACTCTGACCCTCCTCCCAACCTTCCATGTGGAATTGTCGGTCATGGTAAGCAATCAAAGGTTCTTCCGATGAGAAGAATTTGAGAGCAATGTTCAACTTCTGGCCTCCTCAAGCTTGTATGATATACTTTGGCATGTGCCACCGAGCTCTTCGTAATGTGTACAGATCACGAATGCAGTAAATTTTGTGCGGCCTCAAAGCCAATAATGTGCTTTGATACGTTTGATACGTTGTGATGAGCAACAGTCTTGTATTCGTCACCAGTGATCCAACCTCTTCGTTCCAACTCTAATCACGTGGTCAACGCGCTTAGAAGCGGCAGATGAGATCCATGTTCAACTCGGCAGGGATGAGATGTCAGCGGTTCAACTGAACATGTTATCCACGATGCCCGCGCAAGACGATCCCGCGAGTCAGAGCCGCTTCCATCTCACTCAGTCTTCATGGTTCGCCTGCTCTAGACTCCTGCAACTCGCCGTCATGGGTCCGGTCCTCTGCTGCCCCTCCTCCTGCGCTCCCTTACTGCTCACCGCCCTGCCGCCGCAGCCTCGTCTAAATCTCACCGTTACAGCGGTTACACACATGCAACCCTGGCAGTTTCAGATAATCCGGTCTCGGCGGGCCTCACGCCGCCACCGGGCCCGCGCAGGGACCCGACGAGACCACCTGCTGAGGCGGACTCAGGACAAGACGTAGCTCAGCCTAGGGAGGGGAAGGAGAAGGCGGGAAAGGAGAGGGGCAGGAGCAGGTGCTCTAGTCAAAGCGCGGCATGCACTAAGCGAAGATCAAGGAAACTCGTTCGAAAGGCAAGCAATACACCTGTAGTGACTTGCTTCACTTGCTTCCATCCCCTTGATTCAGCTAGCTCCTTGCTCCGCCAAGTTCGTGGAAAAGTCGTTGCTTCCGAAGTCTGGGTTGTAGCAATGAGCGCCGAGCAGCCTCTGTCTGGATTGCTGTCCGAGTTTATCAAGAGAACCAGCGGAGAGCAAGATGTTCTGTCCCTGTACCAAAGATTGCAGACTCATTATGAGGATCAATCATCCAAGAATGTTTTGGAGGACGAAGGAGCCTCTGAACCCCAAGAGTGGTGTGAAGCAGTGAAGAAGCAATTCGACGGAGTTCTGGTAGCATTCGTCTCCTGATTGAGATTGATGTTTGATGTACTTGCTCATTACAGGAGACTATCATCTCTCATCTATCCTCTACCAGTCAAGACTTGTTGTCGGCTGCGATCAAAATGGCGACGCGCATCGCTCACAACAGCGATCTTTGCTCACGTTTCACTGGAAATCAGGTCAAGCTGACAGTCACGAGGATCTGTGAGATATCCATGACAACCACAGACAAGACCATTGCTGTCTTGTCCATGTGGTTTATTTCCATGCAGAACTTCAGTGCTGCACAGATTTCCAAGTCAGCCGACGCCATGTTCAAAGCCGCAATGAATGCTTCGACGTTTTCATCCAAGGTTGTTCAGCTAGAGAGTCTGAACGCGATATCAAGATTGCAGGTTGTTCCTTACACCCTCTGACATGAAGCTGTTGATTCTGGTACCAGGAGCAAGTCTCACAGAAGATTTCCATCAGGAACGCTGTTGGCAACGAGGAGCTTGCAAGAGGATGGCTGCACGTGATCTATACGAGCCTCTTCAACGAGAATGAAAAAGTCAGGAATCAGGCCTTGAGTATCTGCCCCAAGATTGCCAACCTCCTTCTTGCCTTGGACAGCACTGCGAGATTGCGCCTCAACGATCAGGCTGTCGAGGACCTCGGGAAGGAGCCTGAGGGGATGCTGCAAAGGCTCAAGGCTGTGGAATCTGAGCTCCAGAAGGAGAAACCAGATTCTGCCATCAAATCATACATCAGAGGATGGGGCTGGCTCTGTGGCTTTCTCGGTGGTAAGCTGGTCAAGAGCGGAAAGATCAACGACTATTGTGAGCCCTGACATGTACGTGACTTGGTGCTTATTCGTCTTGCAGTGAATTTCATCCAAATGGCATTCTCATGCCAGTCACCAGATATACGTCAGGAGGCTTACAAGAGTTGGTTGTTCCTCGCCAAACTTTTCTCTGACATGAATTCAACGTTGGCGCATCCGAAGCGACTGGAGCTCATAATTGCTCCAATCAGAAGCACTCTTGCACATGACTTGAGCAGCCGTGTCCGCCGGTCTGCCATGGGAGTCTGGACACAAATAGTGCAAATGCTCACCAAGAACAACGGGATGGGACGAAACAATACTTTTGAAGTCGCCTTTACCTCGGTGTGTGCCATAGCCCTCAAGGATAAAGATAGCAGAATTCGTGGAGAAGCCTTGAAAACTTTGAAGGGTCTTATGGAAATGCAATCAGATCAAAGTGTTGACAACAACGGCACCTCCGTAGCTAGTGCAGCCTCTTTGGAATTCAGCTTGTTTGCAAAGAATATCGATGCTTTTTCAGATTTCTTATTCCTTGTCACCTTGGACCAAAATGAAGAGGTCAAAGAACTAGCTGGACAAGGATGGGCAAAATTGTTTAACACAATATCTGGTCAATTCGAGCTCCAAAGCTGGGAATCAGCGAAAACAGCGATGCAGCAGCTCTGTTCCACTTTGTTGAAAAAGCTTGTCAAATCTTTTGAAGAGAAGGATTTTACTCCATCGTCCTCCTTTCTGACTGTGCATCGGGTTCTGGATTGTTGTTCACGACAGAGCGTAAGTGTTCATGCGATGAAGACTATGATGGTGCAGCTCGATTTGTCATCGGTCATCTGTGACGTTCTTGACAAGGAAAAGTTCCAGCCAGTACAAATGAATGTGGCGGCATACCTCAGTGTAATCTTAGCGATGTTCTCATCGCCAGAGGTCGAGTCTCAAGTTGGACTCACTTTAGAAAAGTTGTGCCAGCACCTGTCCACCGAAGTTAAGTCGTTACGGAACCTGTTCGAAACCATCGGGACGCTGCGGCACTGGAACTTTGAGTCCAGCCATCCACGGGACGTGAAAACAAGGCTGGAGAGGAATTTAGTCCTGTGTTGGATCAAGGCTACGGATTCCTACCTTGGATACCTACACGATTTTTCTGTCCGTGCGTTGGCATCTCCTGCCAAGACAAAGTTGCAGCTTCCAACCTGTGCATTCATACTCGGACAAATGCTCACTTTGTTGTCGAGCAAGGATGTCGATGACGTGAGAATTGATGAGAAATCTCCCTTTGAACTGCTCAAGTCAAGGTGGTTGGACCTGTTCGTGAACATGAAGCGCGTCAGCATTATACGTCATGGAACAAAGCTTGCGGCTGCGGAGAAGATTGCACAAGAGGTTTTGAGAGCGATGGATATCTCGGATGCAAGTCTGCCCATGGAGTTCTTGTCTTTCATCATTCAGAATTTCACGGAATCTGACAGTTTCGAGGTTGTTCAACATGCTAACAAGCTGCAAGGCTCGAGGCCTGCAGGGATTGAAGGCATGCTAGCTCCCATCTCAGCCGTATGCACCAAAGTTGTCGAGTTGTGGTTTAGCCTTGTTGGAAGCGATCGGATGAACCTGAATCTCTTCAAGACCTGTTTGCGCTGCTTCATGCCTTTGCTCGACCAGATGAGCAGCACAGAAAATTTCGTCAACTTTCTCACTCAAGCCAAGCCGGCGATGCTGCAGTGTCTGAGAAGTTGTAACCGACATGAAACTGGCAGCAAACTCCATCAACTTCACCATCATGGCTCTGCTGGAATTGCAGATGAGGTCGAGCTGGTCTGGGGTAAGCTGATGCAAGCTCTGGCTCGCTGCTTCCCATGGGGCTCGTCGACTGACGAGCTGCTGGCGAGAACTTCTGACATGTTCGTCGTTTCCATGGAAGGGAGCAACGTGCAGTTGAAGAACAAGGCGCTTGACACGTGGAACGGAACCTTCGGCAAGTCAACAAGTCTGCTCAAGATCGATGACGCGCTCATGAAGCTCCTTGTCAAACTGTCTAAGCGTGTCAAAGTCTCGTTTCCTGGCAACCAGCCGCTTGACGCAGAAGATGTCAACGTAGACACGGGATCGGACGAGAGGAACCTGAGCCCGGTGACAGCTGAAGCGACGTTGACTCAGAGCTTGAGCTTCTCCCCCGCAAGGCCCGTGACAGCAAAAGGAAGCCTCCTGGCCCAGCAGGGGAGCAGAAATACAACGCCCGTGAGAAGCTCAGCAGAGAAGAAGCGATCGACCCCAGTCAGTGAAGCCAAGGCCGGAGGCTCCGACGACCCCCGGCAAGAGTTCGTGCAGATAGCTCATGCCAAGAGAAAGCTCGTGCTGACCGAACACCAGAGGGAGGTGAGAAGCCAGCAGAGGGAGGCAGCTGGAGTTGTCCTCAACTACTCAGGGCTCGAGGACGCCGAGTCGCGATGGGGAAATTCCGTAGAGGAGGCGATGCTGATCCGCAGCGATTCTCGTACTCAATGGTCGGAGGCGTCCAGGCACATGGCAGAGGAGACGCGAGGGAGCGACAAGCATGAGGGGGCTCGTGGGAGGGTGCGGGGACGGGAAGAGCAGGAGCAGGAGCAGGAGCAGGAGGGCTCTCCATCTGCTGCAGCTGGTCTTCCAACGCCCGAGACCGTCAACGCCGCCAAGCGAGGGAGACACACGGAGAAGCTGCAGGAAGTGACGCCGACCAACTTCACGCCGCTGCTCTCAGAGCTCTAAAGGGTCAACAGGGAGGAGGGAATGTGTGTGTGAATCATTGTACGACTGCTTGCAAGCAGATTAAAGAAATCGACACAACAAACTACTGGATTAAAGTGCACATCTAGAGCTGCAAACGTGATAAGGCGACAATGTGGGCTCGTTGAAACCTCCTCCATGTCCCTTGCTCTAGTACGGAGCATTGCGAGCTCCTCCTCCTTCCCTCCCCTTCTTGACAGGCCCAGCCCCGGCTGGCTCCTCCTCAAACTCGTCGTTGAGCTCCTGCCCAACGGCTTCCTCTTCATCCTCCCCGAGCACCAAGTCGTCCAACATCTCCTCGAGGTCAACCATGTCCTCCTCCTGCACCTCAGTCTCCTCCTCGTTGGTGTTCCTGCCATACAAAGTAAGGAGCATGCAGACGAACGTGATCAGAGGTCGAGGAGGAGAAGCAAGTGAGAAGTTTGTCTGGAGGAGGAGGAGGATGAGGATGAGGAGGAGGAGGAGGAGAAGGACGCGGCAAAGAGGAGGGCGATGATGCGAGCTACGAAGACGGGGACAAGGACGAGAACAAGGACAAGGAAGGGGAGGAGGGAGAGGGGGACGGGTGGGGGGTGGGGGCTGGAAGAGGAGGTAGAGGAGGAGGAGGAGTCACTCACGTTGGCATCTCGATTTTGCCGTCGTCGGTGATGCGGAACTTGGAAGGATCTTTGTAGACGTTGACGCGCTGCCTGACCTCGGCATCTGTCTCCACATCCTGCAGGAATTCCTCATAGTCCTGCCAGTCAAGCGTCAGACCCTCACCCCCCCCGAGGTCTATCCTGCTCCACCTGCTCCGCCATCTTGTGGAGCGACTTGTAAGTCCCTTCCTCCTCCTCCTTGATGATCGATCGCAGCTTCCAGAGGCGTCGGCGCCTCCTCGCCTCGGGGTAGAGTTTCTTGATCACCACCACCTGACCAGCACTCAGGTCAGCCTCCCCCTCCTCTGCAGCAGTTAGCACGCTCACGTCAGGCAGCTGCAGCTTTGGCCACTCCTTGGTCTCGGCCTCGTTGAAGACAGCGGCAGTCAGGTCGTACCCCAGCACGGTGTCGCCCGCTTGCAGAACATTCCCAAGATGCGTCAGGGAGTGAAAGATCTGATCGTTGCTTCCAAGATCTCGAGTTCGAGCGAGAGTGAGCTCTGCCTGCTCCATTCAATGAGCGACTTCCTCCTCTCCTCCTCTCCTCCTCTCCTCCTCTCCTCCTCTCCTCCTCCTGATCCTCTTCTACTCCCCTGCCCACTTGCTCCTGCTCCTGCTCTTTCCCCTCATGCCTGCCGACTGCTTCTCACCTGCCGCATCTTGCCGTTGACGAGGCCGGTGGGCTCGACGTCGATGATGGTGTACTCTGTTGCTTGCTTTGTTGACATGAGGACACCGCGAGGATGGCGGTAGAAGATCTCCTGCTCGACAGTGAGACAAGGGAGGGGGCAAGCCGGGGAGAGAGGGCTACCGGTCTCAGCTCCGCCCTCTTCATTGTCAGGGGGTCCAACAACTTGACTGACTGGGTGACTCCGATGCAGAGCACGAGCGGTCCCACGTTCCCTAATGTGTCGTGCTGCTTGGGGTGCAGGCAGATTATGTCGTCCTTGCACACGGGCAGGATCTCGACGGAGAAGGTGTACTTGGCGTTGATCTTGTTGTTGTTGAAGTCCTCGGAGATCAGCTTCTCGCTCGCGCTCTTCATCCTGCAAGGCACGACGGTGTTGACAAAGTCTTGGAACTTCAGCGCATGGTGGCGGTGGAGGAAGTAGAAGTCGATGCCGTCCGGCACCTCCTTCACCGACACCGTCTGCTGGTGGGCCTTGTACTTGAGGATGAGCTGCTCCAGCAGGTAGAAGGTCCTCTTGTGGTCCACCTTCTGTCTCACCTGCACTGCTGCTCTCCAGGTGTTCTGTGCTGCCACCATGTGGCAGTTGGTGCACTGGAAGTTGTGGATCACGACCTCGACCACGAAGACTTGCTGCAGGATCACCCCGCTGTAGACCTCCTTCTGCACCGTCAGCTTGAGCTTGAGACGCTTCGAGTGCGCTTCCGTCCAGATGAAGGAAGCGTCGATCAGCTTCACCTTGTTCAGCCCCTTCACCCTCTTCAGGCAGATCTGCAGGAGCTCCTTGCTCTCCGGCTCGCACACGGTCCATGCCTTGGGGGGGTTGAGGTACCTGCCGCATGCTCGGCACCGCTGGAGGGGGACGCTCTTGGGGATTCCTTCGGTGATGTCTACCCGCGTTCGGATGCAGTTGGGGCACATGCTTGACGGGTTCCAAACCATCGGAACTCCGCACATGCAGCACAGGACGGTAGCCTGCGTGCCTGGGATGAGCTGCTGCCCACCTCCTGCCCGCACGTCGGCGAGAGCGAGAGCAGATGCGACATCCATGGCTGACGACATCCTGCGAGAGTCGGAAGGACTGAAGCCCAGGGAGTGAGCAGAGAAGGTGAGGAGGAGGAGAAGGAGGAGGAGACGAGAACCGCTAGAGCAACCTGACTTCAGTAATCCACAAATCTTTGACTGTTTGCCTGCAATGTGCCTCCTTGCTGTGATGGAAGAGCTCAAGGCTTCAATGTCGTCCAAGGCGGTGGCTGCGTCACAGAGGTGAGAGACAAATCTTCCCGTCCTCCACTCAGGCAAGAGTTGCAGTCGAAACCGCCCAACGTCAGGTCATCTTGACCTGCTCTGATGCTGTGTATTTCAACCCTCTAGCAGACTCAAACAAGCCTCTCCTCCACTGCAGCCATGACTAACCATGAAGCTGCTTCAACGGGGCCGTGCATACATCCATCTTGTCTCTCCTACTCCCACTACATTGTTCTATCGTATCCTCAACCAGCATATCTCCTACGACTGTAATCGATCCACACTCTTTGCCTGTCATCTCTCCCTGCATTCTACAGCTTCTCTCCCCGACTTTTGAGCTTCCTCTGTTCCACTCTCCACCATGTCCTTCTCTCCCCCCCGGCATCCTCAACTCTTCTGTCTCTTCCCCTCCCGCCATCTCCCCCACTATGGCTTATGATACTTGCACGTGCCCTCGCAGCGTTACATAAATTTATTGAAATTCTACCTTTTCCTGCATTTCTTTGTTGAGACAAAAGCTGAATTTTATTGAAATTTTATTGTTGTCCGTCCGATCCCTGGCATCCCGGAGTCCGATTACCGTACTGCATCCGAGAGGAGTCTCGAGTTCAAGTTTGAGATGCCAGTCATCACTGAGTCACTGGGAGTCAGGCCCGGGCCCGGCCGCCGCCACCCGGTCACGCGACGGTCACCGGCCGGGCCCGCGGCGGCAAGTTCTGACCGATGCGGCGAGTAGTCACCCGGGGAGGGCCCCCCGCTGCCAAGGCACTCAGTGACTGCAAGTTTCCGAACCGTTCGGAACTTTGGAAGCCTTCGGAAGTTCGAGGCTCACGGCCCGCGGCGGCCGGGCGAGCACTTCGGCGGAGTCGTTGCCGACGGTCATGCCAGGCTGCCCCCCCGGGGGGGGCTCTCAGTATCCCAAAGTGACTAGTCCCCGTATAAAGTAATGCAGATATCAGTCATATCGACCTCAGCTGCAACATACCGTACCGAATCTAATGCACACGAAACAAGGATTGAAGAGCCATGAGAGATAGACTGTATGCTTGGATGTGAAAAGACATGAGAGGACCTTAGCAAGACGGCTAGGAAGGCCTCCTCTTCGTCTGACGTACTGCATTGCCGCCTCGCAACACGTAAGGCCCGGTCGCCTTGATTTACAGGAGAGTTTTGTTAACTCGGCGCTATCTGACTGGCGGCACGGCTGGCATGCGATCAATCGTAATGAACTATATAAGTAACCGAGCCATAAATTAATATCAGTCGAGTTCGTACTACGGTATGAGCCCATGCCATCACATTCAAGAAATGAAAATTGTGCAACACTTCTACAACTTCATGATGCCGGGCTGATCTTCAGGCACCTAACTTACTCACATCTCAGGTTCCTATACGCTACATACCTCTTGTGCCCCTCCGTCGTCCTCAGATCCATAAACCCCTTCACCAGAAGCTGCAGCTCGCACACGTGCCCCGCTACCCCCAGCTCCCTCGTCCTCTCCGTCACCACCCGTAGGTTCAAAAGTACGTCCCTGTACCCCCCCGTCGTCCGCGCGTCGAAGCTCGGGTCCAGCCTGTTCTTGATCCTCATCACCACGATCTCGGGGTCTCCCAGGATCCGCTCCAGACACTCGCACAGGTCCTCGAGCTGCTCGAAGACGATGCACTGCCGCACCACGTCCAGCAGCCTCGACACGTCGTTGTTGTAGGATCGCACGAGCTTCTCCACCGCCCGATCCACGCTCTTCATCGGCGCCCATCGGATCCGCTGCTGAAGCTCCTCGTCCTCCTTCGCCTCCCTCCACCCGATACACTCCACCGACTCTTCGCTACCTGAAGGCAGAGCCGGGAACAAGCCCCTCGACTCCTCCGCCAGCTCCTGTACCTTCTTCCGGAAGATCGGGTCGGCAAACACCGCCTGCGCGTACAGCTGGTCTAGCGACACCACCCGCGGGTCCTTGCTCAGCGGCCACACGCTCTTGCTCGGCACACGCAGCGAGGAGGACCCGCCCTGGCTCCTCCTCAGCATCCACTCCAGCGGGCTCGACGACGACTCTAGCGGGCTGTCGGGGTCATGCACGCGGCTCTGAACCAGCGTGGTCGGGACTTGGACCTGCGAGACCAGCTGGCCGATGCGCTCCAGGGTCAGGCGGCTGTTTTGAGAGGAAGAGAGAGACTGCCAGAGGTCGTTGTACTTGAGAAGCTCCGACTTGACGTTGTTGAAGGCCTTTCGGACGAGCAATCCTCTACCTACGGTGAAGTACAACCATCCTGCAAGTAGCAAGTAGTTACTGTACCCGAAGTAATTTACGGTAGGAGCCGTTCTAAAGCCTTGAGTATAGAACGCGGTGCCACCAATGGAGGTGAAGATGCAGTAGAAGGGCAGCATAGCCATTGTGTACTGCTCTCGAAACTCGATCACCATCCCGAAAGAAAAGTCCCCAATGCCCCAAAGCAACGCAGTTCCAGTGGTGTCATCCCTAGCAACGAAAAAGCACATTTCGAGCACACCAATGACGTGAAACATGGACGCGAACATCGTCTTCGGTACCCGTCGATACCCTAGCCTTGCCGTCACTACCGCCAAGACGCATACAAGAGGCTGAACAAAGGAGAAGATCGTTGCAATTATCTTCGGTAGTAGAAACTGAACGCTGAAACTCATCCGAGCCCCCCTGTACGCCTCGCCCTCCTTGCACACTCCCATCCCCGGCCTCTCTCTGCACGAGAAGCTCGTCCAGTCCTTCCACGCCTTCCCCGACACACTCTCTACTTCCTCCCCGCTCCCCACCGGCCGCTCCAGTATCGAGAGGTTGAAGGCGATCGGGTCGTAGCCCGCCAGCTGGTTGTCAGGGTTGAGGCTGAAGTGCCAGCCGTTGGCCTCCGCCGGCGGAGCGAAGAAGAAGTAGAGCGTGTTGTTCACCGTCTTGGTGGACGCCGGAGATCGCTGGTTGCAGCTGTCAAGCATGAGAGAGAAGTTGGAGACGGAGGCGCTGGGAATGGAGGCGCGAGGAGCTTGATCGCGGTATTCTTGTATGTGCAATCTTGCGACATAGACGGAAGTAGCTTTGTTTTGCAGGAATCCGCTGAGATCAGAAGATTGGGAGTACATGTACGTCAGGAACGCTGCGACGGCAAGAAGCACGACCTGCGTCGTCAACATTTGCAGGCCATTGGTGACAGGTCTAGAGGAGAAGATGACGCTCGAGGTCATGGTATTCTGTATCCCGGTGACGATGTTTCGTAGCTTCTCGTCCATGATACCCCCCGGGTACTTGCCCTTGTACTTCATGAAAGAGCTCTGTGTGCATCCATCGAAAGCTTCATACATCTGCATCATCCATCGAGACTGTATTGTCTCTTCTTGACTCCAAACAAACGACGCAGACACTTGGCTCATGCTGACTTGGATTGACGAAATTTTCGTTTTCTCTACCAGCTCCGACATTGACCAAGTACCACGCTTTGCCCACCATGCCCTCTCGTACCTCAGTACCTGCTTCACCCCTCGGTACCGCAGCCGCCGCTCCCGTGTCGATAGCACATGCATCCCCATCACCCCCAGCCGCAGCTCGCACACGTGCCCCGCTACCCCCAGCTCCCTCGTCCTCTCCGTCACCACCCGTAGGTTCAAAAGTACGTCCCTGTACCCCCCCGTCGTCCGCGCGTCGAAGCTCGGGTCCAGCCTGTTCTTGATCCTCATCACCACGATCTCGGGGTCTCCCAGGATCCGCTCCAGACACTCGCACAGGTCCTCGAGCTGCTCGAAGACGATGCACTGCCGCACCACGTCCAGCAGCCTCGACGTCTGCCCATCGCACAGGCGGAGGATCTTGTCGATGGCGCGGTCGACGTTCTTGATTCTAGGCCATTCCACGTGTCTCATCAAGCTCACGTCCCCCCGGATGTCCTCCAGCCGCACGTACTCTCTCTTGTCATCCGCGCTCAGCCGTAGCGGGATCATCCCCTTGGCCTCCGCCGCAAGCCCCAGCGCCTTCTCCCTGAAGATGGGCTCTATCAGCACCGCGTGCGCGTACAGCTGGTCCAGGCTGTTGACCGGCCCCGCGGCCGATCGCTGCTCTACCACAAACGTCCCCTTTTGTACCGTCTCTGTGAGGCTTCGACCTCTCCCGTAGAGCGTGTGCAGCTGCCTCAGGCTCGACCTCGCCTCAGCGTCTCCTGCCGTCTCGTCTGCACTTAAAGGAGACTCGGGCCTAGATGCTGCATACTCCCTGACTTGCTCCGACAGGTGCTGGATCGCCTCCTTGCTCCTGTCTGCCAGCCCTTCCCACTCCCTACAAAACGCCGCCCGATCCCCCGCGATCATCCGCTCCCCCCGGTACACCAGCGCCCGTCGCAGCATCAAGACCATGCTCAGCACGATGATCACGATGATGCTCTGATACGACACCAACCACGCCCCTGCTGCACACGCGTACACCACGTTCGAGAGCAGCCCCAGCTCGATCGCCGACGACTCGCTGTACAGGAGCGGCCCGGGGAACAGAAGCACGTCCTGCACAGCACCCCCGTCAGTCCCCCTCCGCCGCCTGGAGCTCGTCGCTCCCCGCCCTCCCGTACCTTGACCGCGACGAGCAGAAACAGAAACGAAGGTGTCCCAAGCATCGTCTTGTGGTAATCGCCCCGTACCTCCAGCCGAAGGAATATCAGCATGTTGCAGGCCGCGTCGAGCGCTCCGAAGAAAACAAAGATCTGCAGCCCCCCCCAAGCCTCATGTCAGCTCCATGCTCCACCCCGACCTCCCGCCTGACTCACCTTGTTCACCCACCGCACTCTGTTCAAGGCTGCTCCGATCCCCGCCATCAGCAGAGCAAGCGGAGGGAAGAACCAGCTCAGCAGCTCCAGACGCGCATCCCAGCCGCACGACACGTTGCTGGGTATGGCGTGCGGCTCTAGGATGACATGCACCGAGCTGATGGCTGGGAAGAAGAAGTCTTGCTGCCGGAGAGCTGCGACCTCGTATATCCTCACCACCAGCCAAGGCACGGCCACGAGCAGAGCGATGAGCTGACCGGCTCTCGAGGACATGAAGGCGGTGATAGGCTCCCATGAGAAGACAGACAGGAGAGGATCGTGACGGTAGACGTGCCTGTCCTTCAAGGCAAGGTCCATGAAGTTACCGGGCTGCTGGGTGTAGTTGCGCACAAACGCATCTAGGAAAGACGCGTGGTTGACCTCGATGATGCTTGATTCCCCAAGACCACTCGGCTCGATGTCAATGGGCACGCCATCTTCGAGCTGTTCCTCTCGCGTCGAGGAAGTCACTTCGACGTAGGCATGTGGTCGCAGGACGTCCTCAGGGGAGATGATAGTTTCCATCTCTTGCATTCCTAGGGCGCTGGGTTGCAAGGGACGGAGAAGCTAGAGGAAGGAGGTTTCATGTGGCTCGGCGCTACTGCTTCTTGAGGGCCTTTCACGATCTAGGCAGCAATTTTGTGAAGGCGTTTCCGCCTAGCCCATTGAAGCAGAATTACGGTAGTCTAATGTAATTTAGATTGGTTTGGCGTTTTCTTCCGCACTGTCGCTTACTGGCTCCTTGCTTCGAGTTTTAACCTCTCCAATTGTTTGTTTTTATCCCTTACTCCTTTGGTGATCTTGTTGCCGGGCGGCCAGTCTTCCCGCCTTCCTGCCTGTATCTTCACTCTCCTGTGGTCTTCTCCTCTCGTTCTGAACCCTTCCTCTCCCCCCACCTCGTTTGTTGGGTTTGTTGCTCCTCCCTTCAAGGTTTTTCCTCTTCACACGTTGGTCGACTTTTACCAGAACTGTACCACCTCCTGGGTAGTTTCCCTTCAGCTACAGGGTGGGGGGTACATCTATTAAAATGTCACATGTATATAAAGTTGCTTTGTAAACAGGGGGTGGGGTCATTTTTTCAGTCAGGGAATTTTCTATAAAGGTAGTAGAAAGTGGGTGGGGTACCTTATAAATTCTCCAGATTTTATGCAATTTGGATGGGTGGGTAGGGTAAATTTTTATGTTCTGTATTCTGCAAATCTCCGCACAACAGAGGATTTTGATGGGTGGGTGGTCCTTTATTAGAAGTCCTCATACAGCAGATGACAAGGGTGGGTTTATTAGTTTATGACCGAATAGGGGTGGGGTGGAAAGAAAATACCACAGGTGGGGTAGTGGATGAAAAACTTTACCAAACAAAAATACTTTTAAAAAGCATGACCGCCGTCCTCGTATGGCTGCACTGGTCATTTCAAATCTCCCTCTATACTTTGAAGATTTTTATGTGAAAGGATGGAAGTGTTTCAAGATGTCGAAACTTCAACTGGCGAGGTATATGACTGTACAGCCAAGACCTGCGATTTCTCAATTGAGCTCTCGATGTATTCGGGGGAACATCTCACCTTGTCGTGATGGAACTGGAAATGTTTGTTTGCCCGGTTCATTGCATGAAGTCATTTTTTTTTTTTTTGGGATCAAAGTTCACTCATCTGAATCGATAGTTTACTCAAAGTTAAGTTAAAAATCAGTACGAGGACAATGAGGAGAGTGTGTGGTGATAGGAGTCCGTGATCATCTACTTTTTTTTGATTTGTAAACCATTTAAAATTATTGTAAAACGGTAACGCCCGGCGGCCGGGTTTGGCCGGCCCGGTGGCAGTAGTACCCGGCACTGCCCCGGCCCGGGCCTACCGGCCGGCCCGGGCACCGTCTTTTTGCTCAGGAAAGATGTGAGACTCGGAAGGTTTATTTTTACTCAAAATTTAGTAGGCTTTCTAAAATTGACTGAAAATTCTGAAGATGGCTGATGAAGGAGGTAGGTGGAGTAGGAGGGTATGAGAGGAAGAGGAGGGGAGGAGTGTGGAACATTTGGCAGCTTCTTGCATGCGCTTGATGGCTCTTGATCTGATCTGGCGTGCAGAATGGCGTTGATGGAGTGAGAATGGGGCTCCCTGGTTGAACGAACTGCTTGCATTCTCCAATGCAGAGGGGGGAATGGAGCGATACCCATCTCTTCTCCTTGGAGGATGACATCATCTTGCACGCATGGCCCGAAACCCACATCATTGCAGGTGACTGCTTCAGAAGAAGAATCCTGCTCTCTAATCCAAACGTCGCCCACGGAACCTCATGATGATGGCAGGACTCCGGACCTGCTGGCGCCTCTACAGGCTGCTGCCGTCGGCTCCTAAAGTCCTCCTCTTCTCTCAGACCGGTTTGACGACGATGCTCGTTGACTTTATCTCACAGTGAGTACAGGAAGAGATTGTCCGACAGCGACAGTGAGCTGCTTGTCGAGGTTCGGGGGGAGGATTTCTATCGTAGCCCAGTCCTACAGGTTCTTGATGGTTCCCGGGCTCCTCGCTCGCCCATAAGGCTCTTCTTTACAGCGCAAACCTTCTTCCTGCCCTGGTCAATGCTCTGGAGGGAGGACTTCACCTCGTCCACATGGTGAGCGCGCTCTTCCTCCCGAACCTGCATCCTGGCTCGTTCGCGTTTGTTGAGGACTCACTTGACTGGTAAGGACTTGCGTTCCAACAACATCGGCGCGCAGGGGATGAAACTGGTGAGGATTGGAGGAGGCTGAGAGAGACCGATCTGAGTCAAGCGCCCTCCTGCGCAGCTTCTGGACTCCTTCTGCAAGACGCCTCGTGCAAAGGAGCTCAAGTACCTTAGCCTGGACCACAACAACATCTCGGATGAAGGAGCGCTGCTGCTGGGCGATCTTCTGCGGACTTGTCCTCTTATAGAAACGCTGAACGTCGCCAACAACGGGATTGGTGAGGGATGAAGAGGGGGAGGATGGGGGCGGGGGGGGAGGGAAGAGGGAGAAAGAGGAGGAGGAGGAGGAGGAGGAGGAGGAGCTGTTGCTGGCGGTGGAGGCAGTGAAGGAGGTGGTGGCAAAGACTCTTACGCGTTTCCAAGGCTACCATGGGGCTGCCGGGCTGGCTCAGTCCCTGCCGCATTGTAAATACTTGTCGGGGTTTGATATCGGGGGGAACGGGTGGGCGTTCCGATGTCGCCATGTGAGCCTGGTAAAGTGCTTCCCTCCAGGTTCGGCGATGAAGGCATACGGGAGATGTCAACGTTCCTCGGTCAGGTCAGCGCGACTTCCTGGCTGTCCTGCTGTCGGGCCCGTCCTGACTCCGGGGCAGTGCAAGAGGCTGAAGCAGCTCTCCCTGCGATTCAACGAGATCCATGTCGATGGAGCTGAGAACCTGGTCGACGAGAGCAGTCTGCTCGTCCTTCCTGCAACGGCAGCTGACGTTCACGCCAGGCCGAGCATCTGCCCCGTTGCGACTCGCTCACTCACCTACAGATCTGTCGGAACAAGGTGACTGTCTCTCTGCCTCCTTCCCCCCCCACCTGCCCCTCGCACGATCAGGCGGCCCTGACCCTCCTCCTCCCCTGCAGCTCGAATGCTCTGGAATAAGACACATCTCGTCCTGCCTTCCGAGGTCGATCTGTCCTGCGGTTGTGCATGAGGGAGACTGATGGGAGCGAGCAGATGCAATCAACTCTCCTTCCTTGACCTCTCTGGGACTTGCATCTGCAATGAGGTGCTGCTGCTGCTGCTGCTGCTGCTGCTGTTCTTTTTCCTCCTCCTCCTCCTTTTCCGTTCTTTTCTCAGTCTCCAACTCATTCTGATCAACTCGAAAGGGTGCCGCCATCTTGGCGGAATGCATTGTATTGTGCAAGAAGCTACAACATTTGGACCTCAGAGACAACAAGATCGGTGAGACATGATCGGTTTCTCAAGCAGAAGATTGGAGCAAACATAAGGGTCTCCCAGTTGCTCCAATCTGTGCATATCTCTTCAAACCTCCATTTTTTTCAATCACCCCCCCGTCTCCTCTCCTATTTGCTCCTTCTTGACGCCCTCTCGCCTCCCTGTTCTCTTCATTCCCTTTCTGACTGTGCCACCCGCACCTCTGCCGCTCCCCCTCGCTCCTTTCTTTCCCCTTCCCTCCCCTCTCTCTTCCCGCTCGCCTTTACTCCCTGCATTTTGAGTCCTCATGCCCTGCGCACCCGCAGGTGTGGAAGGAGCCTCGAGGCTCTCGTCGTCTTTCAAGCACTGCAACCTCCTCGAGTTCCTGGACCTCAGCAAGAACGGCCTCGGAGATCAGGGTGTGGAGGGCTTGTCCTCAGGACTTACCTGGTCCCCTCATCTGACTTGACGCGCCGGGAGCCTGACGGCCTGCTGGCAGGTGCGAGAGGCTCGTGCATCTTGCCCTTGGGATGAACGGGTTCGGCGATCGCGGTGCCACGTCCTTGGGCAGACAAGTCCGATCCTCCTTGCAGCACCTCTTCCTTGCCAACAACAAGATCTCTGACCGGTGAGGCACCACGGCGTATTGGCTTTCCCTCCTCTTCCTCCTCCTCCTCCGTCTGCCATGTCCACCCTCGACCTCTTTTTCACGGCCTCTACTCTTCTTCCTCTTCAGTCCTTCGGCTCTTCCCTGCTAACTTGCTGCTACCTGCTTCTTGCTGATCTTTCTTGTTCAGGGGTGCCGAGGCTCTCTCCTCGAGCTTGTGTGGATGTCCCGAGCTCGCGATTGTTGATCTTCGATGGAACAAGATCGGAGCTAGCGGAGGAGCACTGCTGGGAGAACGACTGTCTAGGTGAGGAGGAGGAGGAGGAGGAGGAGGAGGACGAGGAGGAGGACGAGGAGGAGGACGAGGAGGAGGACGAGGACGAGGGGATGTGCAGGCAGCTGAGTTATTATGGCAGCTGTGTGAAGTTGGCAACGGTGGACATGAGCCATAATATTCTGCGAGCAGATGGATCAGGTGGGGCAACCAGAGTGGGGGAGGGGGAGGACAGGGACGACGACGAGGACGAGGAGGAGAGGAAGGGTGTACGAGAGGATGGGAGGGCGGGTCTCAGGAGGAAGAGACAGGGTGAAGCTTGCTCTGGCAGTGAACCTCGTGGCCGGTCTTGCTCGCACATCGTCGAGCTCCAGCGTCAGGCATCTCGGGTGAGGGGCTGTGGACCTTGTCCTCCCGAGAGATGTTGATCTCTCCCTCCTTCCTGCAGGCTGCGGCACAACCTTGTGGAAGACGCTGGGCTGATTGGCTTCTCTCCCATGCTGTCCTCCTTGCGCTCGCTGGCTATCATCGACCTCAGCTGGTGCCTGCTCGCCCCAATCCCCTTCTCTTCGTCCCCCTTCCCCTCCCCCTTCCCTTGCCCTCCCCTTTCCCTTGCCCTCCCCTTTCCCTTTCCCTCCCCCTTCCCTTCCCCTCCCCTTTCCCTTTCCCTTCCCGTCCGCTCCCCTTCTTGTCTCCTTCTCCTCTCCTTCCTCTTCCTCTTCTTCTTCCCGTTGCCCATTACCCTCCCGTCCCCCTTCCTCTCCCCTCCTCCTTCTGAGTGTCTTGACCCATCGGGCAGCAACCGGATCGGGAACCAAGGAGCTCTCGCTCTCGCAGAAGTTCTGCCAAAGCTGCGCCAGATCGTCCGGGTTGACCTGCGCGAGAATGGGATCGGCGACTTCGGAGCGATGGCGCTGGCGGAGAGCTTGCCCTGTTGTCCCGCCCTCTCTTCTCTTGACATGTAGGAAGAGGCGAGGGAGGAGGAGGGGAGAGGGGCGAGGGGCGAGGGAGGCAGCGTGTGGAGATGACGGGGAAGGATGGCACAAGTGAGGAGATAGGAAAGGAAACGGGAGAGCAGCCGTGAGAGAGGCGGAGGCGGAGGATCGGGAGGGCAGAACTTCTCTGACAAGTGTCGTGCAGACGCATCAACTGCTTCGGGGCGGCGGGGGCGAGGAGTCTGCGGATGGCGGAGGAGAGGAAGAAGAGCGTGACGATCAGCATGGAGGGATGGGAGGAGGGAGTGGCAGACACTTCCCTGACCCGCTCCTGGTCGCAGCACGACATGGCGCGTGATCGCTTCCTGTCCTTCGAGCGCGGCGTCTTCATGATGGACCGCAACGTGTGGGTAACGCTGTTCGTGCTCGTGAGCATGTGGCTCTTCAACCTCTACAACACCAGCAAAAGTACAAGCTAACGCCATCCGATGAGGTCGATCACACCGTGTTGCCTCCTCCTCACCTACAATCATTGCCATCCCCATCCCTTCCCCCCTTTCCTCCTCTTCTGCGGCTTCTCTGCTCTACCTGTCACTCGCATTCCGATTTGGTCACCATCCCGGGTCTGGTCGCTTTAACCGCGTTCATTCCTCATCATCCCCTCCCCCCGGGCTTGTCTCAGCTATTGTTCAGCATAGACGCGTTGGCCTCCCAGCTCAACGGACACAGCAAGGGGCTCGGCCGGTCGCTTGCCATGCCTGCGAGCTCCTCCTCCTGCAGGCTAGTCTCCAGCACACCCCTGCTGCTCGACCCTCCCAACTTCTTGCTCGCCGCCCTCGAGTCCTCGCTCGACTTGAAGAGGAAGGAGGATCGCTCGGAGACCAGTGCGGGGAAGGAGAGGAGCGGGTCGGCAAGGAGATCAGCGTGCTCGGCATACCGCGACCCCTCTGCTCCCGCATCGCCTCCGCCGTTGAGCCACTTGACGCGCGTGTGAGGAGGCTGCTTCTGAGATGAGGAGGACGAGGAAGGGAGGGCGGAGGGAGCCGAACAGAGAAAGTTTAGGGCCTTTCTCTCCATCTCCTGCAAGGAAGTCAAGGAGGGAGGGAGGGAGGGAAGGAGGGGAGGGAAGGGACGAGTTGAGTAAAGGAAAGGAGGGGAGGAAGGGGAGGTGGTAAGGGAAGGAAGGAGGGAGCATCCTCACAGTCTCCATGGCTTCATCCTCATCTTGTCGATCTTCCTCCTCTCTGTTCTCCTCCGAGTCTTGTCCCTCGAAGGTCGACACAAAGTTCGCCCCTTCTGCCTGTCGACGGTCTCCTGGACTGCTCTTCAGTCCCTTCCACTTCCAACTCCTCCTCTCGTCCCCTACCCGCAAAGGCCTCTGACCGTAGCTTCTTTCTCTCCACCCACACACTCAGCCTGCGCCTGGACGTCACTGCCGCCGCGAGCTCGACGCTCCTGACCTCTTTTCTCTCAGGTTCGCGATCCCCCGGAAGCATCCCTGCTCCAGCTGACTTTCTTTCCTCCATCCGGTCTTCCTCCCGCACACCTCGGCGAAGGAAAGTTCTGCCTGAAATGTTCTGGTTTACTCCTCTCGTTTCTTCTCCTCTCCTTCCCTTGAATCTCTAACGCTCCACACTTATGCCCCCCTCCTCCCTCCTCGACAGTGATTACCTTGTGGTTGGCTGCCTTGACGTTGTCAAAGACTCCAAGGATTTCGAAATCACCGCCACCGCCTGCGATAAATGAGGATGAACAGCAGAAGCAGAGGACGAAAGACTGAAGATGAAGGAGCAGGAGCAGCAAGACTGAACCTCCTCTTTCTCCCTCTCCTTCAGCTCTCACTGCCACGTAGACATGGTCGCGAGCGTGAGCTCTGGACACGCAACGAGATCGCTTGCGGAGATACGACCTCGCCTCCATCGTCTGTTCGACCAGTTCAGTCCCCCTTGAAGAGGAAAGGAAGGACCAAAGGAAGGAACAGGAGGGCAGAAGGGCAGGAGGGTAGAAGGGTAGGTGAGGACTTCTGTAGCAGAAGGGGTGGGGGGGATGGAGAGCGGAGGAGGAGGAGGAGGAGGAGGAGGAGGAGGAGGAGGAGGAGGAGGAGGAGGAGGAGGAGGAGGAGGAGGAGGAGGAGGAGGATCACTTGAGTCTTTGCCGTGAGCCTCTGCTGCTTGACAAGAGCCTTCCTGTTCATCAATTCCACCACGGACGAGGGGAAATTTTCAGGAGCTGGAGAAGAGATGGACGAACCAGACTGCAGGGATACATCAGCTCCCCTGAAGAAGAGAGAGGAGGGAGGAGGGAGGAGGGCGTGGAAGAGGCTAGCAAGTAGAGTAAGGTCGAGGCGGAGGAGCAGGACGAAGAAGAGGAGGAAGAGGGGCACAGGAGTGTCGGCCGAGCACCTGTATCAGGTCATGGTTGTGAAAACTCAGGTCAGTTCCTATGGGAGCATCTCGCACAACCCATCCTTCCTTCGCCTCCTCCAGCTCGACCTTCCAGGGACAAGCGCAGCAAAGGGCGATGCTGTCTTGGAAGCTGGTCTCCTGCGGCCTCCCCGACCGGAAGCAGGACAGGTACTGCCTCTGTCCCTTCTTGGACGACGATTTAGTCCAGCTGCTGCTGATCACCGCCCACCCTCCTCCGCCAGTGCTCTCGTCGCACGTCCAGCGGTTGATGCTCGCCTTTGCCTGCTCAAACGAGTCCCAGGGCCCCTGCGGCATCCCCTGCGGCAGCACACACTTCCTGAGCCGCCTGATCTCCTCCTCGCTCCTCAAGCAGACCAACTCTTCCTTGCCCTGCTGCTCTTCAGCCAGCTGCTTTGACCTCCAAGCGCTCATGGCCTCTTCATCGTGGAAGTGGTAGGACAGATCCTGCAGGCCAACCGAGTCGCGGAGAGTCCAACCCTCGGACGACAGCTCTATGTCGATCCTCCAAGGGCATCGCTTCCACGGCATGTTGTTCTTCTTCCTGTACCACGTGCAGCACAAGGAATGTCGCGGCCCTCGCACGGAGTTTCCCTCCTCCTTCCCGCACCCCACCACAGCAAACCCGACCTTTCCCTCCCCCCACTCGAAGCCCTTGGCCCATTGCCCGATGTGATACTTGGCATCTATGAAAGTTTCCCAAGGCCCTGCGGGGAAGCTGTCAGGTACGATGCACTTCCTTTCCGCCCTGATGGCATCCAGGGAGCGCCGGATCGGGAGCTCGCCATCCGCCTGCTCCCCGACGAGCTGCTGCGCTCCTGCTCCTTGGAGGCGCGCGCGCAGGTGTGACACGTCAGGGATCCCGACGTGGCTGTGCTTGAGCAGGTCGCACCCCTTGTGCGCCTTGCGAACAATCCACCCTGCTGTGGACTCTTCAAGTAACAGACCCCAGTTGCACCGTGCCGGTCCCTTGAGGCGAGTAGCCGTGCACAGGAGGCTGTTGCGCCGCCCGTGCCTTCGGTTGGACGGGTCGCCTCCTGACGCACAGACCGTGAAGCCCTTGGAGGGCTCTCCTTCCACGTCCTGGTGGGACGCCCACCACCTGATCTGCTCCTTGGCATCTTCAAAGCTCTCCCATGGACCCGCCGGCATGCCGCCCGGGAGGTCGCATCCCCGCTCCTGGACCACGACCTCGTACGTCCTCCTCCTCTCAGACTTGGACATCCTGAGACTGAGCGCAGTGCGGTCACTGGCAGTCCCCCCTCCTCCCGTCTCCCTCCCTCTTGCCCTGCCCCGACCGTGACATCTCCCAAGCAAGGGACTGAAAGAAAAAAGTCACGCCCCGGCCGGGCCCGCGCGGGCGGCACCGTGAGGCCCCCGGATGGCGTCCGATACGGTCACGCCGGGCCGGGCGGCGGCGGCCCGGGCCCGGCCGGGACTCCATTTTGAAGCCGGCGGGTCCGGCCGGCTGAGCGGCGGCGGCCGCCCAGCTAGGGCTGCGGACAGTCCCCCGGCCGTGACCGCCGGCCCGGGCCGGGCCCAGCCGCGGCCTGGCACCACCGGCGTCTTAGTCAAATTTACTGGCATTTCAAGTGCCCCGCCGGCCGCCGGCGGCGGCGCCCTCAACCGAGTCACGCGGCGGCCATTCACTGATACGGTCGGCTGACGGTGACTCACTGTTAGCACTAAGTCATTCAAGTCAGCTGACCGTTCTGAGGTCAAACCGCGTTAAGTTTCTTCCGATAGTATGTTCCGAAGTTCGGGCTCAGTGACTCGAGAGGGCCGGCCGCGCGGCTCGCGCGCTGCCGCAGTGCCGTTCACGGTTTATCATGAACTCAGTGGCACAGGCTGGCCGCCCGCGTGGACCGGACCGTCCGGGACTCGTTACCGGAGTCCCGGGCGCCGGACTCCGGGAGCCCGGGAGCACGGTACGGTACGGTACGGCCCCGCCGTGCGGCCTGTTGTCCACGGTGTCGGACTGATCGGACGCCCCCCCCCTGGCCCGCCGGGCCGGGCCGGCGGACCGCCGGGCGTACGCCGGGACGGTCTGAGTGACCCGCGCGAGTCCCCGGGCCGCCGCACAGTGACGCCGGGTCCGAATGATCCCGGCGGGGCGGGCCCGACCGGGGGTCATGGCGTTCAACCGTGACGGGCCGAACCTGTTCAGTACTCAAAACTTTGAGTAAACACGAAGCTGAAAGGGGGCCTAGTACAAGTTACGATTTTGGTACTTTCTTCAACCACATTTCCTTATGAAACTACAAACATTTTTAAAAACAATCCTGTAGAAATTGGTACAGATACATTGATATAAATATTTTTGCAATGTTCAGCGGTACATTGCTGCCCCGAGATATCTCGTCTTAAAACTAGCTTGATTTTTAAAATGGGGCGCAAGGGCCTTTTGCGCGCCATGCTGGGACGCGGAGGGGTAGCAGCAGTCGGAGGTCAACAAAGAGGACGGGAAAGAGGAGGATGAAGCAGAATCTAGGATACTATCTTCAAGGACAAGGTATATCTGATAATTGAGGAAAGATTTGGGGGCAGAATGATGTCAAAGATCTGGGTGTGGTTCTGTTTTGAATGCCCAGAAGGACGTGTTGGTTGCTGAACTTCCAGCGTTGTATCCGGTAATGCAGTGGTGTAGGAAGACTGATAGATTTAAATGCCCCAGTCTGTCAGCAACACTCTTTCTTCAGCTCTTGTCTCTGCAATGTTGCAACAGTGCAGACTGTGTTGCGAGTTTGGGACTTTTTCTGCCCGTATCGGATAGTTTTTGGAACGGCAACGGCTTGCATTCCAAACCTCAGCACATGCATCTCGATCATGATGCTCGTGTTGTGAGGGATTGCTTCTACTGCAGATCGAACTGTGTTGAGAAGGGCCTGGCGGCCAAGGATTCTAACGGTGCGCCGTGGCTAAGGTTTATGTGTAGCGGGTGCTCTAAGAGGATGATAACCTCCAACTCATCTTACGAAGCCTTGCCCCTGCGGTCTCGTTGCTTCTACTGCACCAGAAAGGTCTCCACTTCCATGGCCAGGAGGTATGGAAACCTGGAAAACCGCCTCTGCTGCTACCACATAGACATGGCAGACGAGATGGCTGCGCAGAAGTTGCGCAAGTCATATGTCTCCTCTCAACTAGTGGAGAGTGCCTGCCACCTGAATCTTCCTCCCAGTCATGCTGTAGGTTGTGAAGCCTGGGGTGAAGGAGCTTGCTCGGAATCTTCAGCGCCGTCCATGGCTGACAGGAGCTCTGACGCTGGGCAGCACATGCTGAGACCGTACACAAAGCAGAAGCCGCGGGCATGGCAAGAGACGAAGCGAGCAAGGAGTCTCCGTCATTACTCTGCCATCTATTACGTTCGGAATCGAGAGAAAGTGCTGGCAAGGAGGAGAATCCGGAAGGCGATTCATAATCTGCAGTCTTCAAACTCAACGGTCAGCTCACCGCAGGGCCTGGAGGCTCTTGCGAAGAAGCTAGAGAGCAATGAGCTGAAGCTTGTCTTTTGCTGCTGTCATGCCGAGCGTGGGGAGAGGAAGGGACGCATGTCGAGCAGCATGAGTGGGGGAGAGCTGAACCAGCCGGCGGAGGACAGGACGGTTCAACATCAACAATCTGTTACTGCAGGCTTGTTCGATAGGCTGCAAGGTTACGCCGAGTGCAAATGGTGCCTGCGCTATCACCATCACATGCAACGTTGCCAACAACTCTCGATGCAGCAGTTGCTTCCTGGTGCTGAAAGCAAGCAGTACGCCGAAGACAAGGAGCAGCTGGAGTTTGAACGAGAGTGGTCGAGGAGGAAGCAGCTTCTCGGGCTCGACTTTGATTTCTTGAGCAGCCTCTCCTCTTGAGTTCGCGCCCTCTGCTAAGACGACGTGGTTCCTAGAGCATGGAGCAGCGCCCGCACATCCGACAGCGAGTTGTTCTGCCCACAGCCGTCAGAGTTGAAGGAGTTGTGAATGCTCAGATTACTTCCCCGTGGTGACGTCGCACCATCGCAATTGCGGCTGCTCAAAGTCTCAACATCCTCCTATCCCTCATGTCAATCTTTCTCACCTGTAGATTCTGCCTGCCATACATCCTCGTCTCTCAGTAAAGGCTTTATCCTCCTCGTAAGTGTGTCCGCCATCGCCCTGCCAACTCAAATCAACTCCCACTCGTCCTCCCATCCTCCCCGCCCCCCCCACACTCTCCTCTTCCTCCTCCCCCTCCTCCCCTCCTCCCCCTCGTCCGCCTTTCTCTCCCCATCTTCCCCTTCCTCCTCAAGCTGAGCCTGATAACCTCAGTGCTTCCTCCCCACTCGATGAAGAGTCGGCAAACGTCTTGTCTCGAGGGATCACGACCACCCCGCTGCCGCTCGGGTACTCCACTGCACATGGCTGCCTACACTGTGCGGCTCTCAGCGGCTGAGGAGGACCACTTCCCCTAACCATCCTCGCTCTCCAGCAGCATCCCAGCTCCTCGCACTCCATCGCCGACATGTGCGGCCATCCACATCGCGGGCCGTCATCGGGACAGTCCTCGCAGGAAGCACGAGAGGGGAGGATGTGGAGGCCGAGGGGAGGAGCTCCCAGCACAACTACAGGAACGCCAGCAGCGAGGGCGTGCAGGAGGTTGGGTTGGAAGTAGGTCTGTCCATCCATGGTGAAGCTGAGGCATACCTTTTGCAGGGTGAGGAGGAGACGAGCAAGAGGAAAGATCCATTGGAGGAGGAGGAGGAGGAGGAGGAGGAGGAGGAGGAGGAGGAGGAGGAGGAGGAGGAGGAGGAGGAGGAGGAGGAGGAGGAGGAGGAGGAGGAGGAGGAGGAGGAGGAGGAGGAGGAGGAGGAGGAGGAGGAGGAGGAGGAAGTGGACCATTGATCTCAATCCTCACGGAGGACGTGGAGTGGGTATGTTATGTGTCAGTCTTGCAGTTGTGATGATGCTGTATTCCCTTCAGAA